TATATACACACACACACAGGAGACACAGCATAGTATAGCATATATACAGCATGTAAATGCATAGATATGCTCTGAAATAGCTGTACATTCAGCAAGCATAAGAAAATTCAATCTGGAACTTTATGCTGTACTGCAATCTGTTTCTGATAGCTAAATACACCAACATCAGAAGTCTTACATAACTAACACAGCACTATCGGAAGACAGCACGAGTGACTTGCAATTCATTCAAACCTGGCTAAGGGATATTTGAAGATGATTCGTGGGAAGTAATTACAAAGGGTTTTACTAGCAGAAGATCTACTGACACCATTTGAGATGGCAGAGAGAAGGAAGGGGAAAAGAACAGGCAGAAAGCTGTTTTTGCCATGCTCATAGTCTCAGCATTTGACATGGCCTATATTCAGCTGTGCAGTTATGACATAAATACAGAATATGGAATTACTTAACATAAAAGCATGTTGTGAAACCAAGAAGTCCAAGTATCAAGGACACTGCTTCAGTTTACCTATCAATATGGTTCTATTGAAGACCATGAGAAATTCACAGGTTTTAATGACCATAATACCAAGACCACTGAGAAGTAAGGAAATAAATATTAACTCAGATTTTTAAGTAGAGAACTAAGTGAATGAGGTAGAATAAATGAAAGACCTTAGGGTATAAAGAACTATTAGCTGAGGACTAAATGTTAGTTTCCAGAGTTCATATCCAGTACTGTTTCTTCAACCCTCCATCCATGGACTCAGTAAAAATGGTCAACAGTAGAGATGTCAAGCCAATTAGAAACCACTGCTAAAAATGCTTAACTTTTTAAATTTTTTTACTTTAGAAGAAAAACATTTCTTAACAAATACATCGTTGTCAATTAATTCCCATATATTCATGGAGAAGATTGAAGGCTCACAGTATTAAACCCTTTCAAAGAGCAACTATCTTCTTGATTTAAATAAGAATCAATCTCATTGCACCACAGGCCTACTGAGGTACTGTCCATGATGAGAATTACAGAGGTACCTGAGAGGTAGCACAACATGTGTTTATGTAGGGACAAGGAAGAGAATAACATATCAAGTGAGCACAAAGAAACACAGAGACAACACTGGCTGGCAGGAGAAACAACAGAATGACCACACTTTGCTGCTATCTGGCACACCAGGAGATGAAAAATAAAAGGGAGACATTGGAAATACTTTTCAAAAATTTTCTGTAACAATGAAAGCCAAAGAGAACACTAGACATGTCTTGAACTACAAGACTGCAGAAGTAAAGAAATCTACTAGGAATGCTGGAAACTCTTTAAAGCTTCTCAAAAATTGCAAAAATATTTCCTAGAAAATAGCTAGGCAAATTAAGGATATAACTAAGTAGATGTTAATAGTTGTTGGATCACTTCAATCCAAGCAGAAAAGGATAAAATACCACAGAGTCTGTAAGTTTAGTAATTTGCATTTTACATATGAAGGCAGAGAACAGATTTTCAGAATTTTAATTTTAAAGTAACTAATTCTATACTTAAGTAGAGGACATTGAACTTTTCTTATGTTCTTTTTAAAACGCTTACTGTCTAGTAGCCAATAAATTCTACATCTCCACCACAAAAAGAACAAACAATTGTGTTTGTGAAAACACACAGAGCCTTAACTCACCTTGCCAGACACAATCTTCTCGTAAATTTGAATGGGCTGATCTGCAAAGAACGGGGGATATCCAGCTGCCATTTCATAGATTAACACTCCTAATGCCCACCAATCCACTGCCTTGTTGTAACCCTGGAGAGAATGAATCACACCACTGTTAGTACCGTTTCTATCACAGATCAAGGTTTTTGGTGTCTACAGCTGTGGAATACAAAGAAACAAATATACTACTGTTTGCTTAATACAGAATTTACAACCTAATTCAAAGCCAATTAGCACTCAGAGATTCCAACAGCAATACACTTACAGCCTAATTTGGCAATGACAGTGAAACAGTGATGGAAGTGGAACACTTTGCACATGTTCCTGTGATGAGTGTCAATGATACCTTTACACTCATGTGACAAGACTCCCCAAGTGACAGAAATGGGCACAGTTTATTTATTTAAAATCAAAACAATCCTGTTACAGAATGACTGAAACTTGTTCAAAACTTAGGGAAACTTCATCAAATACAACAATACTTCCTATATTGTAAACTGTCATCTTTTTGCTGGATTATCTGCATTTTGGAACATTCCTTTTCAGAAGCAGTTAACTAGCTGCAAATGCTTAAAAATTTAGTTAATTAGCTGTTAGAGTCATTTATGATCTGCTCTTAAAAGCCAAAACATAAAATAATTAGTAAGTCCTATGTAGTATTACAGAAGACAGAAAATCCCACCAAGCCTATTTTACTATCAATTTTACTCAGCTCAGACTCAGTCTTTTCAGAAAAATCTATGAAGAATTTGTAGTAGATGCATTGCAATTTCTTCTGCACAAGGCAAAGAAGGTGCAAATAACAAACATTTTTCCCCAAACACAAGTATTTTTGCGTACTTTTAAAGACCTGCAAAGGGCATTTAATTAAACCACATCTTAAATGCATAATTTAACATCATGCATTATGATTGTTTAGAGTTCTATAAACTGCATTTTTCCTTTGTGAAACATATAAACAGCTGTATGATTAATAATGCTTGTATGTTCAAACACTTAGTGCAAGTACTAGGCAAACTAATCAACAGTAAGCTTAAACTGTATGTACTGTATGTGCAAAACCAGAGGATTGTCATGTTTGATTTCATGTAAAGGGTCTTAAACCTGAAACACTTTGCAAGTAGTTATGCAATGAGTACTGATTCATCCCATATGTGGTTCCTGTTACCTCTGAAGTTCCTGCTCTGCTCTGTTAACACTTCAGAATGTAATCACTCAGATCTGTTGTTCTGATAAGGATGTTAGCTGAATAACCTAATTACAGATTCTTTAAACCTCTTTCTCTCCCAAGTCAGATGACAAGCAGATGGAAAAAGTACAGTTATGTGATAATTTGGTGTAAGGTTTAGCATGCTAACAAAAGATTTACAATACAATGATTGCATCTTGTGTAATTCATAAAGAATTGATCAGTCACAATTTGATTTTTGGAAATAGCAGCAATTGTTTCTCCCTCAGAGTTTACTAATTGGGTGATGTTTTAACTGCATCAAATGCATGGCTGAGGAACCAGATAAAGTACCTTGCTGAGAATTATTTCAGGTGCCAGGTATTCTGGAGTCCCACATAACGTCCAAGTTCTTCCTTTTACTCTTTTTGCAAAGCCAAAGTCCGTGACCTGTCATCAGAAGAAATAAAATGACTGTAAGTGCATTGCTATAAACGTAAAATTAAGCAATTCAGAAATATTTTGGAAATCCATTTTACACAGAGGAAAAATGTGTTTCTCAAATCACACAGTATGTCAGATGTACCTTTAGTAGTCCTCCTGATACTTCTAATTCAGATAAAATAAGGTTTTTATGAAAAAATTAATAAAGAACACAGAATATATATTATAGTCCTGACACAAGCTTCTATTCATAACTTTT